TCGTAATTCAGCAGATCACATGATTTCCTTGCGCTCAGCTCTGTTGTCTCAGCTAGGTGGCTTTCAGAAGAACTTCGGCTACTGACGATCGCTCGACTACAACAACCAGAGTTACAATTACTGCGAAACTTCTAGGCGTATTCGTTCATTTATTCCTGTTGCGTTTTGTCTACAGGACAAGTCGTTTTCAAATCGTATATACTGAGTATCCACGGATCTATATTTATACAAGGGTGGAACCCTGTACCTGAGTGCTGTTGCTACCCTACGTGATGTCAACCTCAAATAGGTCTAACTGAAATAGCCATGACTTCACGCATACTTTCCAAACGCTGACAGACTGAAAGTCAATTGTGTCTGATAGGACATGGAAAGCTAGTCTGCGGAGACCAACGATTGGTCGGAATAGTTACAGTAATGGAGGTGCTGTATGCTCCAAAATACGCAGAAACCAAATAGTTTTGTGAAATCTGACTGGAGTGTGATCAAGACGGTTACAAGAAGAGGTTGGTGCTGCTAACTGCTCAATGAGAAGCGTGTTAACAGATTTAAAAAGACCAATTCAAAGTATACGTCAAGGGGGCAAATGTCTTCTTCCTGCAGTTAAAACCTGTGCACTTGACTGGGAACTGTTTGTTGTTTCATTTTCAGACCTGATTTAAAGTCCAGCTATATAAAACCAACCACGGCTTGCCTATAGACGCCAGAGCTCATTGCGTTTGATCACCGTAACCCATTTGGGTATAAAAACCACGTGACCACGTGATCACGATAACTGTTAAATAATTTGGCTCTTTAAATAATTCGACAATCTCATGGCAAAAAACGTCCGGTGGCATATTTGAGCACCCCATCCACTTTTACTGGGATAAAAATTGACAATCAGCAATAGCAGCCGCGCACACCGCCCTGTTAGGTGAATTACGTCTAAAGCCACACCACTAAATCTATGCTATGGGGAGCCACCTAATACTGAGGCTGACACACTCGCCTATGTCACATATGCCTAATAAAAGTTTCATCACCAATCGAGGTGACATCATCAGTGCGTTATTGTGGAGCGTAGTAGTGCGTAGCGGTGGGTTGCTGGTTGTGCGTTGGGTAGTGTTAGTGCGTTAGTATTGTGCGCTACGCAGTACTACGCTCCACAATAACGCACTGATAATGTCACCTCGATTGGTGATGAAACGTTTGCAATCAAATTGCCCAGCTCAGCGAACAAGCCAACGACCACCATCTACGATACCTGTGTTACCAAAATTTTCCTCTATGCTGAAATTATAATGCAGTGCAACCAATGCAACTTGTCTCGTCAGTTACACGCACGATCATTTGCATTGATGTGACAAACCGACGTGAATTCCTAGAGTTAAGTTTGAGCACAGTAGCCTCGATAAGTCAGAAGGTGGAGTTTGCGTTTCGTAACCCACATGGCATTGGTTTCTATTGTTAATTTTAGGACGGTCAGGTCCTAACGAACAATTCTACCCTTTGTAATCTTTCACTGAGATTTCATTTTCTCTCCGTAGTGGCCAACTGAGCCGCAGCGCTCATTCTTCTGTTGGTTCATCTGCAATATAGCCGAGCTTCTTCTGGTGTCCTTTGTCTTCTTCCTTGTGTATTTCCCACTCAAGTAACCAGACTATCAACGTGACAGAATAAATTGCATCAAGCTCCCATAGCACTCAGCTAGCACCCACGTTAAAACAGCTAAGTATTGTTTTTTTCTTGCAATTTTCAAATCAGTGGCTCGCGTTTCCATGATACATGTCACTCTGGATGTCTATCTGTGGAATTTACGTTTGGCGCATCGTCTAAAACATAAGAACAAAGATTAATAGTACGGCCATACTAACTAGACGTAGTCCTACGGAAAAACTGTTCCCAACCGATAGTTTTATTGCGTGCCTTGCACCTCTATTGGATATCACATGGTACCCGCTATGCTTATCACAACACTGTTGCCAGAAAATTCGAAAAGACGCTTCCCAGTCGCTTTTGGTCACACGATTTTGAGATTTCTCGATTTCTTGTTCTCAATCATACCATAAAGAGTCACCCCCTTCAAAGCTTCGTGAAATTGTGAAGTCCGACAGCCTCTACGTAGGTGGAAAAAAGGTAGAAATATTGTGTAATTAAGCCTTCTGTCACTACACGATTTCGAGATTTCTCGATTTCTTATTCTCAATCATACCATAAAGAGTCACCCCTTTCAAAGCTTCGTGAAATTGTGAAGTCCGACCTACGTTACGTAGGTGGAAAAAAAGTAGAAATCTTGTGTAATTAAGCCTTCTGTCACTACCACCTCTTGCATTTGATCCACTGATTATTGGTAGCCAAATCCAACAAATAACTATCCGTTCATATAGTTGTATCCACCTCCATCATCTCCCCATGTTGACGACCCAAAATTTTAAACCTTCACAGTGAATTACCTATGTTTGCGCTCTATATTATGCTCTTCTCATATTTATGGGAGTTCCACACCCACATTTAGCCAAACTTTAATGGATATGAAGCTTCTGACTATACTGACATTTTCGTTGCTGCAAAAGGTTGAAAGATACTTCCAAGTTATCCATTGGATTTTCTCTACTTCTCATCTGAACTTTCATAAGAAAATCCGTTACTTGTCTCAAAAATGACTCATGAATAATGGCAGTCTATGTGTAAACCAGTTTGCTTCTTCTTGGGTTCTTCTGTTTTTTCTTTCTCTAACACTGACTGCCTTTATACCGGTTATCATAATCTTCAAAATACCAAACCGAATTCGTGGCAACATTTAGGCTGGAAGATGGAATAAACTTGAAACGCCGGTTTATGCGTCCCATGAGCTGAGTTACAATCCGTTTTTTTTTCAATCATCATGTGAGTTGATTAAACCAGGCATACGAAAAACTGATGAAACTAAAGTTCTAGGTGTGACTTGCCTCAGAAAATTAGACAGTGTCCGACATTAACGAGGGAATGAAATAAATTGTGCGCCACGCAGTCTGCTAAGTCAGGTCCAGAATGCGGCAACACTTATGTAAACAAAAATAGTTAACCGAGGAGGTTACTGTCTCCAGTGTCTGGCTATTCCTTCCTCGGTCTCCCGTTCTCGGCTTAACGAAACCAAGCAAATGGAAAAGACATATCTTTTTGCACATGATTTTATCTGATCACCTGAAAGCAACCGAAAGAGGCGAATCTGCACTCATTAAACTTTAAACTATAACCAGGCCTCATTAACATTCTGGATGATTCCATGTAGGTTGGAATCCAGAAGGCTTCAGTTTATCATTCTACTACTAATGAGTACAGTGTTTTAAATCAGATATTTGGAAGGACAAACTTGGCCAACAAGCTAACCACTTGTTTCATCACTGATACCGATGTGTGTGCGCATCTGTTTATCACGAAGTGCGAAAAGCACATGCCTGCCAAACCCTTGTGCTAACTAGTCACTAATGCGTGTTGAACGGGCGGATAAAACGAATGACTGCCTGCCACATGGATCACGTGGACACCACCAAATGAGACTTATGTGCCGACTTTCAACTGGCAATAAAGTACAAAGTGCTGAAATTCAAAAGTGCATTATTGGTGGTGGACTCAGAAAAGTACACTTACCGCAAGCATCTGAGTAATGTTTTGTCATATATGAAAAACAGTGCAAAATCCGTAGGGAATTACAGTAGCAGATATCAAGCCAAACGTACGCACAAACCGCAGCAGTGTAAATTACACACAGCTATCATAAGAGGTCCGAATGATCGCTTTCGTTGAACTGGTTGATATTTCCAACCTATGATGGACCCTGAAAACAAAGGCGAGAAACCTGCGCAGCAAAAAGTAGAGTTCTCATTCTATGTCACCTGGTACAAATAACGGTAAAAAGCACATGCTAATTCTATTTAAACAAAAACCACTTAGTCATTAAGTTTTATTAAGTTTTATTATGGCGGTTACCTAACTCATAAACAAGTTTTCAGTAAGGTTTCATGCATTTCCTCGGTTTTTTTAAACCATATTGTAACAGTATGAGATTGAAGGACCTAGTGCGTTGCGTGCAATCGTAAGTTCTAGCAAGTATTGGCATGATTTAACCACGGCTTTTGTATATGAATTTTTGAAGCAGCTTTTGCGGATCCACAACTTCACTGCGTTCTGTAGTGCCAACGCCGTTGCCTCTTCCTGCTGGCATCTCGTAAGGATATCCGGAATCTAGTTGTAGATTTGGGTGGTAAGGTGAGTCCACCAAAGTTTGTGTACTCCAACCTCCACCACTTCCATAAGCCCATCCGTATTTAAGGTCGCATGATGTTATTCCCTTTGGACCCAGAGTTTTTCAAACAGCGGCTGTTTTCCACTACTCCATTTCGACAAATGCGAGTGTTTTACTTTTGTCTGTATTTAATTTTGCACAGCCAGTCAGGTCAAAAACTTGAGTAGTTTGCTAGCTAACCATTAAATTTCCCGTTTTCCTTCTCACAAGTAACTTGATAAACAAATCCCTTGTAATTTATGCCTACAGATTGCACACTTGTGTTGCACTCATACAGACAGAAAATAAACCAACATCGCTAATACATAACTTGTTTGACTTGTTTCTGACTGAGATATGGCACAAACAATATTGTAATGTAAGCATGAGTGTCGAAAAAGTGTAAATTTTGACTCCCTGTTCACCGTCTAACCACAGTCTATCACAAAGAATTCTTTCTTGAGACAAGTGTTCTAGTCGGACAACGACCGTTCGGTGTGAGCGTGCTTCACTTAGACGAAGCTAAAAGCGTCAAGGTTATTCATACGCGAACAATATAGTGTACATAAAAAATCTTTATAGACGCACTTTACCACCCCACAGAGCATTCAAGCCCAAATCTTAAGAGAGACACTTCCCACGAGAGTTCACAGAGGCGCTTGTCGTCAACCCCGCTGAATGAAAACACCACACAAAGACCGGCAAGTCACAAAGCAAGCTAAACAACCTCTGACTAATTGATAGTCTCTTTTACTGAGTAATGTTACTGGTAATGGTATGTGTCAAAATGGCTTAATATGATCTACTATATTTCATTAAGATGTCAACAAAACTAATCCGGAGAGTAGCGTAAAGTTTGCACTCGACTGAAGAAACATGTGAACTCAATGTGTGAATAGATCATTCCTCAAATTGACTAACATTTACATGAATAATCATCTATTTGTGCTGAACACATTTAGAAACGCGGCTGTTGCGCCTTCAGTAGTTGAAAGGATAAAACCTCATGCAGTGCTTGGAGATCAAGAAGATAGGTGACATGTAGAAGACGATAAGGACTAGCTTCCGGTCCGGTGAGCGTTGGTCTTAGAAGAGCTGGTAAGTCCGTATAGGCCAATAACTGTGCACTGGACAAACCCTCAGAATTCATCGATTGAAATTCCTGTGCCCCAAAACTTTTCGCCACCTCCTGCGTCCGATTGGGAGATTCCTCTTCTCTGGCACGAGACTCCGCAGGCACTTTTTCTGCTGGGTCTATCTCAACCTCACCTCCCTGGCGGGAGGAGTCGAGTCCGGGTGAACGACCAGATGTAGTTGATGTGTTCATAGTTTTTGTAGTGGTATCAAATTGGAGCGGCAAACCAGTCCAAGTTTCCAAAGCCAACAACAAACGTTTAGTGTGATTATAACCACCCGGGAACTCCTGCTCCAGCTTTTCGATAGAGGAAGGCGGAAATCCCAACTTTAGTAGGAAATTATGCGTTGACTCCTTTGGAAGCGCGTTTACCAAGGTTGAACACATCAACCGAAGCAGTGCATCTGCGGAACAGGAAAGTTTACGTGTATTTTTACACTTTTTGTCTAAGTAACTGAAACGTATTGGCGAAACCGTAGAGAATGGTTTCACTAAGGGGCGTTTTCCGGCAGCCTAATATGTGGTCAACATGCTTAAGAATTTAGGAGAAAAATTCATTCTCCTAAGCAAAATATGAAACAACTGCCAAAAAAATGGAAAAGTGCAGACAGATTTCTTCGTTTTGATTTTACAATACATTGAGGAAGTTGCTGTTTTGCGAATAGAATTTTTACACTCTAGCATGCGACAGCCTCCCCAGCAAAGTATACGCTACTAATGTTCCAATAGAAACCTAATCAGTATTAACCAGCCAAACGAATTTTTAAGGGCTTTGTCAGCTTTAATACATTCAAGGCTCATCGAACACACTTAAATCTTGAAAGCACGACTAAAATTTCTTGACTTCACTGTTGAATTCCAATACAATTAACTTAGCAAAGGTAAATGCTTGCATGAACAACCATACAATTTTCTTGGCTCAAAAACACATTTAAAAGTATATCTCAGCTCACAACTAATCCTTTCACGCTTGGCAGATTCCCTCCACCTGGTATGACTCAAACCAAAAATGGCCATCAGTTTGTTCTTCATTTGTTTTTTATGCATACATATCCATATATACATATATCTTACACACAAAATATATAAAGATGTGTACTCTAAACAAAAAGTTGATATGAAATGAAATGCAAAATGAAACACAGACGGATAAGATTCAAGGATCTTGCACACTGTCATACTTGTGTGTCAGGGGGATGCCTCATCAGTTTCGTCCTATTTTGGCTCCTTTACATCATTCCTTTATACCCCAATCCTGGACATATTTGAAGTCTTAACATCTATTTTCTTCGTCTGGTTGTTCTATACGACGTAAATAAGTGCTTCTCTTGAGTGTCATGTTTTACAATAACAACCAGCTTTTATTAATGTCATTCGCTTTAATTTTTCACGGCCTTCGCGGTCACAGACCCTCATTTGCATCAACTGAAGTTTGTTTCGGGAGTCGCGAAATATTTTCTTACGTTGCACTTGTGTGAAAAATCCTCCGGTTCAGCCGCTACTTTATTGGTTCAAACCAAACAGCGGAGACATTATGCTCGAATTCCACTGTTTAACTGAGATGCTCTAGTAGAGCGTACCCTTAGCTGTGTCGTAATTCAAACTCGTAATGTCTGGCGCGCAGTCAAAGCCTGCTGTTTCTACGTCATCAGCAATGCTGAACGCGCTAAGTTTTCACGTCTGAACAACAAAATGTCATCCTGAGCAAAGTAATTTGTCTACCCGACGCCTTGAATGACGGCGAAGTAAGTTTCTTAGTCGTGTTGATCAGTTAATCCGCCTGTCAGAGCTTACCAAATGAACGTTACCACAAACGACTGACACAAATAGATTTCGGCTGGACATTGATACTATAATTAGAACCAAGTACTGCACACATATGTTCAGAATGACACTACAAAAACGTCGTAACGGTAATAAAAATCTCTAGTTTTTACGAGTTTATCGAAGCCCATGCCCATTTCGAACATGTTTGCAGCCAATCACGAGCTGACAGGATTACATTTTACAAGCACCCATTTGGCGTCTGGGTTTGGTAAGCGGAAGTTTGAGAAGTTATAAGTATGGAGGTGGAAACTGAAGTGCATATCTGTCAGGCCTGAACGAATCTCGTTTTAATGCATTTGGGTCTATCGTCAGATCATTAACCAGCCTCTGAGTAACAACGGGTAAGCATATCTCCACCTCTATACTGCACTTACGATTGGTCTTCATTCAGAATAAGTATAGCTGGCAACAGTAGAAAAGTTGTTAGATGCTTACGCTTGACTAATTAGGTACAAGTAAGAGGCCAAATATGCCGCCGTGTCCAGACCAGTTTAATAAGTCAGATACGCAATATATGATACGGATGTAATGGCTTAGTTTTATACATAATGTCGCGTCTTCATCATGACGGTGACACCTTTTGATCTACCGACTGCTTCGCCATTTATGTTATTTAAGATCACCAGTCAAACTCCATTCTCTTGAACGTTTTTTGGGTTCAAAGTGGTAAAGCAATTGGCCGCTTTATATTGCTCTCCAATGACGACGGTGATAGTTACATCCAGGTGGTTGCTTTTCTTTCACTCGTCGGCCGGCCTGATTTTGTCAATGGCAAACGAGTAAGTAATTCAAAGATTATTCTTTCAGCAACAAAGCTTCCAGATTTTTTCTGTGACTTTTCTTTCTGTTTAGATGGCTTGAAATGCCCTTGATTTGGAGATAATATTGTACGTTCTCACATTGCCGTCATTAGTTCCAAGAGCCCTATAATTTCAAAGCTCTCTAGATTTGCTGCTGCATTATTAGGCGATTTATATTATTAGGCGTTTATTATAAGTGTAGATGAAAGTACTTGGTAATACCAGGGCCAATCGCGTAATCACACCTCGGTCAGAATCTTACACCATGTTGACAATGAGTGTCGGACTGTGACTACACAAAATTCCGATAGTTGGATAGAAGAAAATTAAAAGCTCTCATAGTTACCCTCACACAAAGGGGTAGGATTATTGGGGTCATCAAAATCAAATGACTTATGGAGACTAAAGACAAAATTATGACGGATATCATAAGTTGTTTTTGCATTTCAAAGCTTTTCGGCGCAAATTTATTTCAAGGGTAACATCACTAGTTGAAACAACTTCTGCAAATGTTGCGCAATGCAATAAAGCCATGTTAGTAAACAGGCTCAAAAACAATATATAGGCCGTAAAACACACTCATTTTCATCTAAGTTTACTAGCATGCAAAATCATTTTCAACGTTACATCAGGAAGTTTATCCGTGTTGGACTCTTTCATTGACTTGCTCTCTCTGTGAAAGCCATCGAAAGAGAACGTGACCTCATGAGGCCATGTACAACCACAGCAGTCGTACTGAAGCTCTAAGAAGCAGGCTCAATTCATTAAAATGCAACCATACATAATGGAAAAATTTGGAGCTGCGTGCACTGGTTCTAAGTCGTCGATTCCTGCGGGAAAAACATATAAATAACAGAAAGTGCGGTTAACTGGCTCTTACAAACAAAACCATCGACGGTATTCATAACCATTAAAACTTGTCTGTGTATTCTAACCGTAAGTTAGTACACAGTGATACTGGTTGATCTAGTCTATCGGTACGGTTGGACAGTTTTTTATTCACTGTTACCTAAGCTGTCATTAGATTATAGGAATCAAATCTCGTTTCGGACATATGGAAGGCTTATAATGACTTCAAACTATATTGAGCAAAGTTCAGTCCGTTATATGCGTAGCTTGTCTTTATTATTTTTATTTTGTTTCCTAAAGCAGTTACTCCTATTAGTAGATTTGCGTCCTAGTTTATTTTACAAGAAAACTTGAATGTAGGCACCTCAGTTAAGATCGCCGTGGACCTAAAATGAAAGCGCTTTGATCTTCTGGTGGACGACGTCACACTCACCTCACAAGTTTTGAAACCTAGAAGACGCGTATGTTATGGAAATAATTCTGAATTAACTCAAACACTCGGATGGAACAATAATGACAGGAACAATAGACACGGATATTTTGGATAACCGGTCGACAAAATGAGAAACTTTGGGACAATTTTCAGGCAAATGCCCGGGTTATATGTTTAATCCAGTCCAACATCTGACGAACAAACTTACCGTCAAATAACTTTTGCATCTGTTGATATTCATATACGGGAAAGACTTTTCTTCCAGAGCATGCATCTATTGGAGGACTAATAAGTGGATTCCCTGCCAAAGTGAGGACCTGTAATGTTTTAAGTTGCTGAAGCGTTTCATCCAGCTTCTCAATCTGGTTGTCTTGCAAATAGAGATGCGTCATGTATTTGCACTTGTGAAACCTGGGAGGTAGAAACCGCAATCTGTTGTTGCTAAGGTTTGCTCTCTTTAGATTCATAAGATGAAAAACGTCCGGCAAAACAAACAAGCCATTCCCCTGTAACGAAATGTGAACCAACTGAGATAATTTCCCTATCGCTGCAGGGAGCTTCATTCCTGTGGTGTACTGGTGCAAAAGCGCCTCCTCTAAGGTGAGAGCCATTAATTTTTCATCTTCATCAGGTAATTCAGTACTTCCAGGCGCATCATCCAATGTTCCTTCTGGATATAAAAGATTGCTGCGGCTAAACCAGCCCCGTGGCGACTCACTAGAATCCAGCGGCCTTCCTTCTTGCTGGTCATAGAGAAATACCTTTAGCCTCGGTATAAAACACACAACGATGGGAAAATGTTCAAACTGGTTGTGTGACAAATCAAGATACTTCAGAGAAGTTAAATGTATTAGAGTTGTGGGCAGAATCTCCAGAGAACAGTGAGATGCTCGAATCATTCGCAAGCTGGTACATTGCCCCAAACCATCTGGAAATCGGCGAAGCTGGTTACAATTTGAAACTGATAGGTGCGTTAGGTCGTGGAGCGTAGAGATCTCATCGGGAAGATGAACGAGTGGGTTAGAATCCAAACAAAGATAAGATAATCGGTTGTTGTGGCAAAGAATACAGCTCGGTATAGCGGAAAACAAATTAAAAGACAGGTCCAGTTGGCGTAAAGTGGGCAGAACCCTCTCGAATTCGACTGGTAAGTCTCTCAATCGGTTATACGGAAGCTCGAGCACAACCAAGTTCCGCAAATCACAGATCCACCTTGGGACTACAGAAAAGGCGTTTTTCGATAGAGAAATGGCACTGAGTTTTGACAGGTTAGTGTTGTCTTTGGGGAAACCTTTTATCCTGTTTCCGCTCAAGTTCAAAATCATTAAATTTTTCAAACACCCAATATCATCTGGTACAGAACTCATTCCACAACCAGCGAAAGAAATCTCTTGAAGCTGCTGTAAAGTCCTTAAACTTATGTCAACATTTCTCATGCTGTTTCCATTTAGATTGAGGTATTCTAACTTCTCGAGTTTAGTGAGTGCATCTGTCAGCGTAGTGAAATAATTGTATGCAATATTCAAAGCCCTCAAATTGACAAGTTGAGAGAGTTCCTTGGGTAGGACCCCCATGATTTTGTTGTCTTGCATACTCAATTCAACAAGCGACACACATTTGAACAATTGAGAGGGGATATGGTCGAAATGGTTACTATCTAACTGTAAAACCAGTAGGCTCTTCAGGCTTGAGAACGCTCTCGGAAGGTAGCATAATTGGTTGTTCATCAGTCGGAGTACTAGAAGATTTGACAGGCATGTTATTTCCTCAGGCAAATACCTGAGTTGATTGGATGCACATAATAAAACTTGCAGCCCTTTCAGCTTCCTGATCGACGGAGACAATACTGATAGGTTGTTTTCTGACAAGTCTAAAGACTGAAGGTTCAACAGGTCGTACACAGTCTCTGGAATTTCGCTTAAGATATTGCAAGAAAGATTCAGAACTTTCAGGGATGATAATCTTCCGACTTCCTCAGGCAGAGTGGTAAGTTTGTTTCCAGAGAGATCCAGAAGGGCTAGACTTTGCAGAGAAATAACCGACTCTGGCAATATCCTTAAAGAACATCCGTTGATAATCAATATTTGCAAGAATCTGAGAAATTCGATCGATTTCGGAATGTCTTCCAGATCAGAATCACGTAGAATAAGTACTTCAGCCGTTTCGCAGCTGTGAACAGCGTCTGAAAACTTGGCAGAATTCACCCCACAAAAAATGATACATTTCCTTCCGTCATAAGGAACTTCAATGACGCACGTTTCTGAGTTGCGCCTAAATATGTGTTTAAAATTAATTGAACTACGTACGCATCTTCGGGATTTTGCGCGGCATTGCTTCTATCCATCTCATTACGCAAATTAAAAATTCACCAAATTATGTTAACGTGGATATCGCAAGTTAATAGGTCAGATTAGTTCACTGGGTATGTACACGAGTAGCACAGATTCACGGATTGATACATTGAAGTGAGGTTTCTGCCCAAGATTTCCGGGTCAGTTTTGTTCTTTTTGTTCAGCGGCTGTCGTTCACCTGAAAGACAAGTGAAAAAGGATGTAGTACTGCTCTTTATGTTCTCGGCGAAGGGTGGAACGCTTGCCAGCGTGAGGACTCGCATAGATTAGTGGTTTGAAGTGGGATCTAGAAGGAGCGCGGACAATCGTCAGAGGGATATTATTCCACGCAGCTAATATCCGAAATAAGGAAAAATTCGCCCAATGAATGCGTGCGCCCTGAGCTCGAGAATCTCCCTAAAATATCCCCGCTGTGTTTGCTGGGTCAACTGTGAAAACCTATTGGCTAAACCTTGCTCACACAGGACATAAGTAAGAATTAGGTCCCCACAAAGGCAACGGTACTCCAATGGAAAGAAGTCAAGCAACGCGCAACACGTTCCGTGGCCCACGGATTTGAGGCCGGCAACCGATTTTGTAGGGGCTCGCTGGACACGCTGGATGAGGGTGGTGGCTTTCTAGTGTGGCGTTTTGTACCTTTGTTTTACTTCCATAATAGCACTACGTATTTCATCAATTGCATAATCGTTTTTTGTTCGAATACAAAAAAAACTACAAAAACCCGCTCGAAATTCAGGCGTGGTCACGTGCTTCAACTCTCCTGATTTCGCTCGCACTTGCAGCGTTCATTCGCGAGTCTCGTGTGCTTACTCTGTTATCAAAACATTTCAGACTATCTTCGGAATCTATTGTATGTGGGAACTGTTCAGGAGAAGACCCCTGGACTACCATAATTGGACTATTGTTTAGTCGCTGACCTGGGCCAACGACGACCTATTTTAAAGAGAACAATTGTTAGTGAGTCTGTTCCTCTGACCTCTTCATTATTGTATACCCAACCTAGCGTTATTGTTTTTATTTCTTTGCCACACACCTGGTAAACTAACTTATTGGGTAGCCAGACAACCACACGAGCCTCCCGAGTGGACAACTTGGTTTGCACATTCAAGTAGCAGTCCGACGTAGGCTCCTTAGAATATTTGGGGGTCCATGTGAGTTATAACTGGAGAAGGTTGGCCGAATCATCCGTAAAATGGCGAATACCTTTCGGGCCGATTTCTCATGGCGCTGTGAGAAGGACACGTTTGAATGGAGCCAGATGCCCAAATCCTTTTTGGCCTCTATGCTCATGATGTTTTCTGGTCCTTTCTCACCGTGCACTACAAAGGCATTCGCTGATTCCCCTACAAACGACATATGGACGCACTTTTCGTCATCAAGAGGCAGGTGCCACTCCAACGACCAATGCCTTGCAGCGTACACACCCATTTGAAGGGCACTGGCATTGGAACCACAGGATTTCAATTCGTCCGCAAAAATTAGACATGGGCCTGTAAGAACATTCGGAAGGTCGTTGATGTATATCAGAAACAGTGCTGGTCCTAAAACGGAGCCTTGAGGAACTGCAATGGAGAACGGCGCTGGAGAAGAGTAGGTAGAGCCTACCTTCACCCGGAATCATCTGTCTGATGGGAACGCCTTGATCTAGTTTTCTCTTGAATCCCGTAAGATTCGAGTTTGTGGAGCAGCGGGACATGTGGGACCCCGTCCAATGCTTTTGAGAAGTCAAAACATGTGGCACCCGAAATGAGGCCCTCATCCTTGGCTTGGGTTAAGCTGTCCATAGACATATGTACGTCCATCACGCAAGAGTTGTTTGGGAGTAATTGGTGCTAAGCCGAAGGTAATGAACTTTCCGAAGCAAGATTTTCTAGGATAGCTCGCTTCAGAATACGTTCCATCTCCTTGCACGGCATGTCATTGAGGCTTGTTGGCCTGTAGCTGCCAGATGATAGACGGTCATCAGTTTTGCAGCTTGGCGTGGCAATCGCTACCTTCTAGACAGAGGGCAGGCGGCCTTCGCCGAGCGACGGAAGAAACACCTCCTCCACCGTCCTCCACCGTGAAGACAAAGTTGGTTAGAGGCTGTTCGGAGTTACGCCTTGGCAAGGCTGGATGTAACGAGGACGCTTGGATTGGATATAGACCTGCATAGTGTTCTGTGTAAAAGCCAGTTACCACTGATTAGTCACTCATGGGTTCCCGTTCCTGTCCCTAAAGGAGAACCCGATGGCTTGTCTATGCGACGAAGTCTCATGTATTTGAACAGCACCTTTTCGTCTTTCCGGGCGATGTCCAGAATTGTTGCTCGTTTGCTTGTGGTCCATTGGTGGATTTCCGCTTTACAGTGGAATTCGGCATTTTGCGAGATGCCGGCTAATCTTCTGTCTCCGTCAAATTTTGAAAAATAGTTGAAACGTCTCCGGAAAACGCCGAATCCTTTTTGGTAGCTTGCGGTTCATCCGACTGCGTGCCGGATTTTGGGGGACGGACATCGCCTCCGTATCGTGAACTTTCTGGACGATGCTCGTATATAAGTGTCTCACTGAAGCTGGTCGCATTTTAACCTGTTCAAGCATGATGCGTATTCCTGAGAATTCTGCTCGCCAGAGGTTTCAAATCCACGTTTAAGGCTCGGGATTTCTGGCCCAATAACAGATGCGATCAAATGTCAGCACACGGTGGTCGCTATGTTCAGGTAGAGCGCTAATTATCACCTGGACACCGAAGCGTCTCTGGTCGGTGATAAAAATAATGTTTATTCTCAACTTGTGGCTGGTATACTATTAAGCGCGATCACAATTTTACAGTCAGTATAAAAGCGTGATTGCTAATTCCTCCACTTCTTCATCCCCACCTACGAATTTTGCGACCATGATCATGAGCCTAACAGTCCATGGCCACGAGGCCTCAGCAATTGTTTTAGTTTTCAGTTCAATATGACCGCCTGGATGACGCCAACTTTACTGCTTCACCTGATCTGATGTTCCGGTTCCCCATTTTTCACCGTTAACGCTTTTCATGCCATGCGTCAGGCAGAAAGCCTCTTGTTTTGCCCACCCTTGCTTTGTTTTTTGCTTGCCTCCTTCGAACACAATCGACCCGATCTTGCCCGATATTCTCCACAATAACGTATAGTAACTGTGCTTTCTCGCCCGTGCTTGTTTAGTAATGATCACGCCTGCATCGGGTAATGCCTGCCCGCTGTGATGCTGTCTATTTCCCTACCCGCCCTGTACCCACGATCCCCGCCACCCACGAAGTGTGAATAATCATTATTATTGTCATTATTATTAAAGGCTCTCTGGCTATCCAGATAGACTGTTACAATGGTGTCCGGGATCATAGGCTACAGTAACGGTCTCAAAGAAGTGAAGCTGGCAGCCACTGCAGGATCTCTGAGATAGTTATCCGCACTGTCGTTCATCTATGGCGTTTGTAGCCAGGACGAACCTGATCAACGGGTCTGCGAACAAGCCTCCAAGAGAATGCATTGAAAGAGGTATGTGATGAATTGCATTGAAAGAGGTGTATGTCGAATCTCTCTGTGGTTGAAACTAGCTCCATCGAATCCGAATTTAATATGAGAGCATACAGCAGATTGTTCCCGCTGGGATGGGACAATTTCAAAGTTGATTCAGTGATTAATGAGATTTAAAACGAGGGTTTGGCAATCTTGACTGCCATGCCTCAGGGCACGTGATGGTATGCTGTCGGCAGCCGGCACGGTGAAGTCCTTGAGGGTTTGAAAAAGGATCGACACATCAAAAATGGACATGGTCACGTTGCTAAGAGAGGAGATTACTCTTTTTTGGAGATGTGAATCATGGGCTGGTACTGGAAGAGGTTATTAGCAGCTAGCAAAGTGAGTGTTCAAGCAACCGGCTATTTTGACGGGATTAATGATAAACCTACCGTCGGTGGAACGCACACAGGTAACCGAGTGACTAGTTTACAGCGAGAAAGGTCCCCGAGGGTCGCGCTCTTTTCACGGCGTTCAATGGATACCCGCAAGGACTCTCAGTCAGTTTAGATCTTGCCCCTGAGGAGTTTTATTACGAAGTTCTAAGATTTCTGATATTCTCTGCCAGCTAGTGGCATTGTGTTACCCATGCTTTTTAGTACTTATCATTGCGAGATATATCAGGGGGAAAACGTTGAATGGCAGAAGCAAGGTAGAGAGGGGTCAATAAGGTTTGATAAAACATGTGACAAATGTGTCGTGTGTTTGTCAACAGAAAGAAGTCGTTCAACATTCGGAAGGACAGCAATCATAAAAAGCCGATTAAATATCTGGAGACAGAAGATGAAAGTAAGAGGGGCTCGGAGAAGCAGTCGCGCCACACCTGACTACGTTGCACGAGACGACGCAGTGATCACTTTCGGGGAAGCGTGAACCAACTGCGACCGTAGCCATATAAGCCTCAGTTTGGAATATTAAGTCCAAGATATGTAGGCCACGAATAAGGCTGCCTACAATTTAAGACCAACCATCCGGACCGGGTTAGGTAAGTAGCGAGGCGGAACAAGTGGGGCCCGTGGTGGGCGACCAGGAAATATCCAGTAGGTTGAGGCCAGCCAGCATAAATTTAGACTAATGTGAAAGGGCACGTGCAGTAGACATGCTACGCAACAATTCGGCAACAGATGTGGTAGAGATGACCGGTGGTAGACAGATAAGACCTACTAGCACGGTTGTTTGGTCTATTCTGTGAAGATCCAGATGATCTCCGAAATTTGTTCTAAGCTGCAATCATCAATGAGGGTTGCACGAGGTTCCGATTTGCGATAGATGGAATAACCACACCGCTTGGGTTTTCTCTATCAGAACGGTGAATACTGTTACCAGAGGTTGAAACAGCCGTGTCTTGATTTACAAATGATGGCCCTTGTAGTGTCTGTAATCCGTTGTCAAATTTACCGTTCTTCCTGAACCTAAACCACACTTGGTAAGTGTCGTTCACATTGTATCATGAAGTTTGTTTTATTGTTACGAATACACAAT